ATGGAGGAGTCTGTAATCCAGCAGCACCTCACACACTATAAGCAGGCCACTGAGATGGCGCGTGAGGAGCTGGCCGTCCTGCAGACCAAATACAACCAACTCCAATCACAGGTTTGTATATATACACTGGTCATTTGTGGTGTTTTGAATGTACATTCTCTATGTGAAATAACTTATTTCCTTTTAACAGCTCTTGGAAAGCCAATCCAAAATTGCATCTCAGGAAGAGATTATGAAGAACTTAAAGGATGCTGCAGATCGGCATAAAGAGAAAGAGGCGAGTCAGGAGTCTCTCATCAGCTCGCTCAGAGAACGCAACTACAACACAGAGCAGGAGATGCTCTCCATCACCTCCTCCAAAAGCTTCATGGACATGAGAATACAGACACTTACAAAAGAGAATGAGGAGATCAAGGGGAAAATAATGGAACTTGATATCAAGTCAAAGTGAGCATTTACTTTGGACACAACTAGAATATATAGAATATATACATAAGAAAGTATAAATTGTTCATATGTAATTTAAATGTGGAATATAACCCTAACACTACATATACATGTATAAATTGTGCATATGTTGATGTATAATTAACACTTCTATTTCTTCTATCATCACATATTTGCAGACAGTATTTTGCAGAATGCAACAAGGCAAAACAGGAAGCCACTGAGACCCAGAGAAGATCTGATGAGTTTATATCGGCTTTAGCAAACAAAGTCTCTGTAAATGTGGCAGGAAAGGCAGATCCTATGGATTATATCATATCCGTGGTGAGTGTGTTCACATATGCTTTCAACCAATATTCTTCTGATCTCTAACATGTCTCTCTATGATAAGGTGGATGCCTGCTTGAAGGACAGAGACCACCTGAAGAACTGCATTTGTGCTTTAGAGGAGAGTGTGAAGTTGTACGAGGTGGAGTGTAAAGCCAGCAGAGAAACAGTCAAGAGACTGGCGACTGATGTAGAACATGAACAGTCGCTCTCAGCCTCCAGAGTGAATGAGCTGAACTCTAGCAGACAGGTATCTTACAGATCAATAATGCAATTAAACAACACTTAAGAAATCAACACGCAACAAGTATCTTATAGGGTAAAACCTGTGCAGAACATGCCTGGGTTATATTTCACTTCAAAACCAGAAGAAATAAATATATTTTGCATAAAAGCTTTTTTTTTTTTTTTTGTAATGAACATTATGGCATTATTTTCAAGTATTTCCTGTAAAGCAAAATCATTAATAACACAGCCCTGTATAAGCATTCTGATGATTTGCAAAAAAAGGCCTAATATTAATTTGATGATGCTGAGTTCAAAAATATTAATAAGAACTTTCCATTGCGTATAGTGTTTACTCAAAATAAGAATGGTTTTTCAACTTATATATATTTGTATCAGCTTTAATGCACAAATAAAAGCAGTCAAATGTCAAAAGTTTAGTTTGTAATGACAAAAAAGTATACCGTATATTTCCAAATGTAAATTAATTATTGCAGATTTCCCAATTTATGCCCAATTTTGTCAATCGGATTACACATTTCCAGAATTTATCTTAAAGACATTTTTAAAATTAGTAAAATAAAAATAGTGCAGAAATGGAAAATAATTGTTACAGATTTACAAATTGATGCCAAATGTTGCCAAAAAAACTACTATAAAAATAGTGCCGTTTTCAAATGTCTAGTTTTGAAATGTTTATGTTTCATTAAAAACTTAATTAAAAACGAACAACTGCACAATTTAAATGAATTTGAATTTTAAATGACTAAATGTTTAATCAAAATGAAAACTCTTGAATTTTATTATATATTTTTTAATATTCTTATTTTTTTTTATTTTATTATTATATATAAAACATACCTTTGAATGTAAAAACAAAATAAGAAAGTATCATTCAGAATCATTCATACTTTTGAAAATGGGCAGAGAACTGAACAAATACTGTAGTTGTCACCCGACTTGTGGCAGTTTTTCTGATGATTCTGGGATAATACAAGACTTCTTCACCTTACAAATGGTTATCAAAAGCAAAAATGCTATGAAATACATCATATTTTGTGAGAAAGTGTGACGTGCTTGAGCAAAACAGCCACCATTTTTTGGAAACAGCAGCCCAAAATTAGTAAGAAACAAGTACTGGATTTCATTTAGCAAATATGATGAATAGTGGTGTAACAAATCAGCAATATACTGTATTTTTGTCAGGAATTGGATATAATCTCCCTAAAGAAACTAAGTTTGGAGAGGGAGAACCAGAGCCTTAAAACCTCCCTGCAGGAGTCTGAACTGGCGCTGGTGTCCGCACAGCAGCGCTGCCGCCACTATGAGAATCTCTCTCAGGATCTGCAAAATAAACTCCACAGCTGCCAGAATGAAGCTCAGGCGTCTCACAGCCACCATGAGGCCTTCATGAAGAATGTGGAAGCTCTGCTGGATGATCAGTCTCTTCCTGTTCAACACACAGAAAGTGACATATTGAAGGCACTTACGGCCCTTTGCAGCAGAGAGAAAAGTGCACAAAAGGTAACGTTTGCATCTCGTATTATTATAGCGTAGTTTACGTTCTTACTTTTCAACTAATGTGCTTTCTGTGTGCTCTAGTCTCAGATGGAGAAGGAGGGCAGGCTGGCGGAGGTGGAAGAGCAGTTGTCCAGCCACAAAGAGCATCAGAGCAGTTCAGAACAGAGAGAACAGGAGCTGCTGGACAGAATCAAGAGTCTGGAGGACGAGCTGCTGACGGCTGGAGTCTGGAAAGATGGAATGAACCAGGACAAACGGCATGTGAGGAAGTGGATTTATACTGCCAAAACCTGTTACTGTATAAAACTATTCACATTGTCGAACTTTTCTGGCCACTGTGTATCATTTGGAATTAGAACATGATTAAAATGTATCATAAATGTCCTAAAATGACCCCTCAGTAATGTCATTGGCCTTCTCTCTCTGTAGTACCTGCGGTTTGTGGAGCAGCTCTCAGAGAAGCTGAAAGTAGATCGTGTTGCTGCAGATCTGGGATTTGATATGAGACTCGAGGCCATTCTTACACGAGCTGAACAGCTGAGCAGACAGGAAGGGACGGCTTTACTGGAGACCAGGACACAAATCTACAGCCTTCAGAGAAAGGTGCTGACATGTCAAATAATGAACTTTAACTATTATTTAGTTCAGTGTTTTGGGGCATAACCTTTCCAAATGTACAATAATTGTCACAGATTTACAAATGAATGCCCACTTTTGTCAGATTTTATATATTCAAATATTTTAGTGTTTTATTAAAAACGTAAACAATTGTAAAATAAAAGAAGTTCAGAAATTCAAACTAATTGTTACAGATTTACAAATTAATGCACAATTTAGTCAGATTTTACACATTTCTTTTTACAAATTTCAGATTTATTATTTTTATTCATATTACAGATTTTACAAATTTCTTGAATTTTACTGACAAAATATTTTAATGCAAATTTACAGAAAATAGTAAAAATAGTAAAATAAAAATAGTGCAGAAATGTAAAATAATTGTTACAGATTTACAAATGAATGCCCAATTTTATCATAATTTATCTTAAAAAAATGTTTCAAAAATAGTCAAACAGTGCAGAAGTGAAAAATAATTATTACAGTTTTACAAACGAATGCCCACTTTTGTCAGATTTTATATATTAAAATATTTTAATGTTTTATTAAAAACGTAAACAATTGTAAAATAAAAGAAGTTCAGAAATTCAAACTAATTGTTACAGATAATGGCCAATTTTGTAAGATTTAAAACAAAATTTCCAGAATTTATCTTAAAAATGTTTTAAAAATTGTGCAGAAATGTAAAATAATTGTTACAGATTTACAAATTAACGGCCAATTCTGTCAGATTTTTAATACATATTTCCAGGATTTATTTTAAAAATGTTTTTCAAAAATGGCAATATAAAAATGAAAAAGTGCAGTTTTTAAATCGAGTTTTGTAATGTTAATAATTTATTTAAAAACGTAATTAAAACTAACTAAACAAACAAATGAAATTAAATTTTAAACAACTAAATGATTAATCAAAACAAAAATTCTTCAAATGTATTAGATATTTATATTTTCTTGTACTTTTAATTTATTTATTATACTTCTCATTTATTTGAAATGTATTCAATGTAAAACCAATGTAAAAATACAACAACAACAAAAAATCTATATAAAATCAAAATGAAAATCTTAAATATAAACCATACAACAATCCTAGCCATCAAACCACGATTACATTACATTATTTGATTAGCTGGTTATCATTTCCATCAATGGCTGCAGCTTAAAGAACATAAGGAGCGTTCAGAAAGTAAAGAGCTTCACCTGGAGCTGCTGAGGAGGAAGATGGTCCAGCTGGAGGAGGAGAAGAGGAGCCGCTCGGCACTGGCGGTGGAGAAAGATGATGCTGCTCTGGCCTGTAAGAAGCTCCAGAAGCGCGTGGATCGACTGCAGGCGGAGCTGAGCACCTTACGCTTCACCAACACCGAGCTGAAAGCCCAGCTGTCCCACACCAATGAGCTCAAGGTACAGGGACGAGGCCTGGCCCACAGACCCTCACCAAACAGAGTCATTTCAGCATAAAATACCAAAACAAAGACCATTTTTAAATTTAAAAACACAAATGTGACTGTAAATATATACCATTTTTACTGTATATGGTTCTTGAGTTGACAATAAGGTTCTATGGATAATAAAATAGATTCTTTAGATCAGTGTTTTGGTTTCTGGATCCTTTAAGGCATATAGATGATTTGTGTAACTTGTAGAGCATCCAATTAGCAACAATAAGGTCATGAACTGGAGTCCCAGGGAACATCCATACTGGTAAAATATAGTGAATGCAATGCAAGTTGCTTTGGATTAAGGCACCTGCCAAATGCATGAACATAAATGGTCCTAATATCGACCCTTTATGTTTAATGTCGCAATAAAAGATTGAGTTTGACATTTTGATTAAGAATTACAAGGTCAAAACAAATCAAAGATGAAACATGCACAAATGACTTGTTCAGATCAATAAGATCAATAACATGCATTTAGAAAATAGGGTGAATTTTTATTTCATGCCATCTTTAATAGTGCTGCTTCACATGTAGAGTGTGGCGATGCTTGTAAATGCTTAGTTTCTGCTGTCTTTGGTGCAACAAGATCAAAGTGATGGAACAAAACCAAACCATAGAAGAGCAGAGTAAGAATCTGGGAAAGCTTGAGGAGAACAAGGTAAAGACTCAGAAGAAACTGACCGTCATCAAGTCAGAGCTGAAAAACCAGGAACTCAGAGCCAGAGATGAGATTCAACAAGCCCAGAGACTGCTGGACACTCAGTCTAGCGCCATAGCAGATCTCACTCACTCCGAGAAACAGGTACAGAAGTGACGTAAGACTACATATCTGCACATACACTACCTTTCAAAAGTTTGGAGTCCGTTAGATTTTTTAATGTTTTTGAAAGAAGTCTCTTCTGCTCACCAAGGCTACATTTATTTGTTCAAAAAATACAACAAATACAGTAATACTGTGAAATATTATTACAATTTAAGATAACTGTTTTCCATGTTAATATATTTTAAAATAGAATTTATTTCTGTGATACAAAGCTGAATTTTCAGCATCATCACTCTAGTCTTCAGTGTCACATGATCCTTCAGAAATCATTTTAATAAGCTGATTTTCTGCTGAAGAAACAATATTAGTATTTTGGAAGGTTTTATTGTTGTTTAATATTTTTGTGGAAACCATGATATTTTTTTTAGGATTCTTTGGAATATAAAGTTGTTAAACAATAAAAAAAGTGTTTATTTAAAATTGAAATGTTTTATAAATGTAAAACTGACCGTCATCAAGTCAGAGCTGAAAAACCAGGAACTCAGAGCCAGAGATGAGATTCAACAAGCCCAGAGACTGCTGGACACTCAGTCTAGCGCCATAGCAGATCTCACTCACTCCGAGAAACAGGTACAGAAGTGACGTAAGACTACATATCTGCACATACACTACCTTTCAAAAGTTTGGAGTCCGTTAGATTTTTTAATGTTTTTGAAAGAAGTCTCTTCTGCTCACCAAGGCTACATTTATTTGTTCAAAAAATACAACAAATACAGTAATACTGTGAAATATTATTACAATTTAAGATAACTGTTTTCCATGTTAATATATTTTAAAATAGAATTTATTTCTGTGATACAAAGCTGAATTTTCAGCATCATCACTCTAGTCTTCAGTGTCACATGATCCTTCAGAAATCATTCTAATATGCCGATTTGCATATATATATATATATATATGTATATATATATATATATATAAACAGGAAATGGATTGCCTTTATTAATAGTAACCAGTATGCTCCTACATTGCAGTTGCTGGACTTCTACACGGTGGTGTCTCAGATGTTAGGCGTTGACTGCACAGGCTGCGTCCCAAACTATGAAGTTCTCAGAAGGCTGGAGGTTCTGCTCCAGTCACGTCACTGTCACTGTCCTGCTCATCTCCACCAGCATCACACACCTCAGATCTGGGAAACTCCAGTTTCCTCCATAAACGTCGCTCATTCTCATGAGTTTAATGCCCAGGCCCTGCCAGCTCCCTCCTGCACAACCTCTGACAGCCCAGCAGCCCACGGAGATAATATAATAGCATCGAATGATAGTTTGAAGTGACTAAGGTTTTGTTTTCTTTTTGTTAACCTTGAAATACAAGTTTAAAAATCATTCAGATCGCACACTGACTTCTGATAAGGCGAATGGCCTTGTTTCTTTCCCGCGCGCTCCCTTAAAACGTAAAAAAAATATACTGTTGTTTTAACATTCAACCCATTCCCAGTTGAACAGACTAAATATTTTGTTGTTTGGATGCTGGTTTCCCCACCAGGCTTCTTAACTAGCTTAACCAGCACCATATCATTGGTCAAACAGCAAAAAGTATTTCCTGTGTAAACCAGGATTTAGCTGCTTTCTGTAACTAAGATTCTGTAGATGCATCATTCTGGGAACAAAAAGCACCTTCTACTATTGATGGTAATTAAAAAGTAACCATGTAAAATAAACAAATTAAAAAATGCATGCAACAAATTAAAAAATTGCAAGTATTTCATTAACTATTAGTAGATATTTACCATGTTTGTTGTGATGAATGAGACTCCTCCCAGTTTAAACTGGGTTAATGGAATTATTACCCAGCTAACAAAAACATGTTCTAAGGATGTTTTGCTTGAATGTTCCCATTAAGTTATAGAAATGTTGTTTCTGAATTTTCTAAGAACAATCAAAACATCCAGTTAAAGTTGACTGTTAGTGAAAACATTAAGAACGTTCCATTTCATCATTTTTCAAACATGGGAAGTTACTTCTGAATGTTCTCTGTAGAAAAACAATGCATAAAAACATTTTCAGAATGTTATTAAAGACCAGATAATTTGAATAAATGAACATTCTTTCGTTACTGGAAGAATGTTCATTCATAACTGAGAGAGAACCTAGCCGAGTTCTGAGAAGGTTCCCTGTAATACAACACTGTAAATATTACCAGCAAATCATTTCAGTGTTTAAGCAGTGATTGCGTCAAAAAAACTGGTAAAAAAATAACTGATTCACAATTAAACCAATTATGGTCATTTAGTCTTTAATTGTAATGAAAAATACTAATCAGCAGGTTATGTGTATATTCATAGGTGTATTTTCATTGCGAAGGTTTTTTAGGCCTCAGCAAACTGTACATACATAAATATCCTTTTCTTTGATATCAGTGGTTTACATACAGTAAAGTATATTCATGACACAATTAACTTGAATATTACAGCAGGTTAGATAAGATCAAAAATTAAAAATAAACAATGACAAATCCAATTAAATCAATGATCGTTTTAAAGGATGACCACATGCCAAAAATACATATAAAAAATAATTGCAATATAGAGTTCATAAATTGCTTTATCTTCTCTGTTTTACAAGTTATTCATTTGATACAAGCAATCCAACACCTTTCAGTTTTTTTCCCAATAAACTTGATCTTTCCATGATTAAAAAAGGCCTTTAGACCTGATTAACTCTCAGTGTTGAGTTAATATCCTACGCTCTAGTTTCCTCCTTCATATCAAACATGGAAGAACATCAGTAGCACTAACAACACTTGTCTGACAGCAGTTTTCAGTGCAACAGGCTTCGTTCTAACATCTACACGAGACTCAGTGACATACTGTAGAATTAGCAGCTCTATTTGCTGTACAAGGACACAATAATGGCTGCCAAATTTAGAGGGAAACCCGATGCTGAGCTGCCTTTTTGGCTTCAAAGTGGAGCTCATATAGGTGGAGGCCCGTTGGTGTAGCTGAGCATTGGGTGGAAGGAGCGGGCGAAGTTGTTGAGTTGGGCACAGCTGTAGTCATCCTCAGACATAGGCACAAGACAGGCCACCACCACCACCAGCAGCAGGATGATCTGCAGCGGCAGTGCGGCCCAGAGGACACGCTTCAGGAAGGTTTTGCACCAGGATGGAGGTTCTTCCTCATCAGAATGGGAGGAACCGGATCCAGCGGCGTTGCGAGACCTGCTACACATGAGACGGCATAAAGAGGTGGAAACATTCAGATGCGCAACTAGGTGAATGAGAGAAATTACACGGGTTATCTAGCTATTTCTAAAACTGTAGCTAAGGAAATGGGTTTTGTAGATCCACAAAAGACTTCTAGAGTTTCTCTCTACACTTTTAAAATGAAAGGTTCACTGGATACTGGGCATTGATGGTTCCATGAAGAAAGGTTCTGTATTGTGGAAAAAGGTTCTTTGTGGAACCAAAAGTGGTTCTTCTATTGCACTGCTATGGGAATCCCATTTTGGAACCTTTATTTTTAAGAGTGTAAATAGGCTTTCATATTTATTGGATGGAATGATTTCTCTATGCATATTTCTTGTACATATTTATCTCTGTCTAACACTGTTATATGAGATTTGGGAACACATTAGCTGCCCAAGCTTGACACAGATAGCGTTAGTTTAAAGTCTTCAGTAGCATTTAAAAGCAAAAGGGCCATTTTAAAAGAGTTTTTGTTTTTCATAAATATGCCTTTTTTGTTAAAGCGCTGTTAAACAGAGAGCATGCTAACAGGAAAATTGCAGCTTAACAGTTTTCAGTTTAAGGCAAAGAGTTTTGGCACTGGGGGTGCTGTTGCCTAATGGTTAAAAATATGCTGGAAAAACGAAAATGCTGTATGTTCGAACCCAACAAGATGCAGTTCATGAGCGATCACCACTGTGCTCTTAAGAAAGATACTTACACCTTGGTTACACCAGACAAACTGACTGGAATAATAAGTCTACTTCACTACACTGCTTCAGATACAAATGACGACATCCTAATGATTTAATCTGGCTTCCTTGAATCAATAATCAGTAGAAAGTGACACATACAGTCATTAGTTACTCATGTTTACTGCAGTTTAATACTGTATAGATCTTCTTCTAAGAAAAGTCTCCAAAATATAAAACAATATTATTTCGCCCTCCATCATTCTGTGCATCTCTCTTTTTGCATCATTCTCTTTTTTTTGGTCTATATTATTTTGAATATTGTACTGAGTTGAATATTTATCCATGTTATATAAATAATTCTTCTGCAGTGATCTTAAAATAATTATTTTAACAATTATTTTGTAATAAAAATCTTAAAGGGATAGTTCACCTCAAAATGAAAATTCTGACATCATTTACTCACCCTCATGTCATATACTAAAATATAGCAAATTAATTAATCAACCTATAATAAAAAAAACATTTTATAATAACAATGTTTAATTCTATTGTGAATATGCATCTTTAAAGGGGACATAGCAGGATTACATCTAATATTAATGGGACAACAGACTTATAATAAACAATCTTAATTATAAACAATTTTTTCAAAATAAAAAAAAAATTAATTAACTTATATTTAAAAAAATATTATTATTAAACAATTATTTTATAATAAATAAACTTCTTGTAATTTCACCATGACCCACTACAAAACAACTATTTGTGAATAACTACGTTTAATATTAAAAAAATATATACATTTTTTTTAACATTCTATGATAAAAATATTAGTATTATATTGTGAATATGCATCTTTAAAGGGGTTATATTGACATTTGATATATTGACAATATTTATAGGACAATAGTTTTAAAATAAACAATTATCATATCTATCTATCTATCTATATATATATATATATATATATATATATTAATCTGAACAATTATCTTATATAAAAAAATTAATATTATTTATCTTAATTATTTTATAATCAAAAAAAATCTTGGAATATCACTATGATCCACTGCAAAAAAAATTTGTGAATAACCATCTTTAATGCTGACATATCATGGTAAACCAGATTTTGTAGAGAGTCCTGACATTGAGTGTTTCTCTAGAATGTCATCAAACTGCACGGATGGCAGATTGGAGGAGGGAGAAGATGATTGATTAGTCGGTGAAAGAGCAGATGTGACACACCAGAGAGAGAAAAAGAGAAACTGTTGCCAAGATTGTTCATTGCAGACGCTTGCTGAATAGACAAGAAAAATGAACGGCTCAGCAGCAAGCAGCCTAGCACATCCATATTTACAGCCAAAAAAAATATAGAAAGCAAGCACGTTTTTGGTCTCGTGCATGAGCTCCTCCCTTAGTAGTGTCTATCTCAGCTCCCTAACCTGAGCAGTGTCTAGAATCACAGAAGATGATGGAAGTCATCAGCATGAGCCTGTAGGTTGCTAATATTTCTGCATGCATGACATGCTTCATCTCTGGGCCGCTGCAAGCGTGGTCTGTCAGGTTTGTAGGACACTGTCCACTTAGGGGTCAACCCAGAGCCTTTAGTGCTAGGGGTCTACGCTCAGGTCATGGGTTGAGTTCCATTATCTTCCAAGTGTTCTAGAAACCAGGAGAAAGGTACCTGTGAAGTGGACTGCTCACACAGGCTCCGGGCTGTGACAGACTACTTTTGCCCCATGGCTGTTTGCAATGAACAGGGGGGTAAAAGAAAGAAAGAATGTTTCAGTCCAGGCAAATAAAGACAAAGCTACTGATGAAAGAACCACCAAAAAAGAGAAAAAAAGAACCAACTAAATCAAATGAGGGGGTGACAGCATCTCTATGGAGACAAAGAAACTGGTTCTTCATGACACACTTCTCAGAAAAAAACACCTTGCAACAAGAGATGCTTTAATATTTAAAAGCTTTTAAAGGGCTCAGGGCAAGTTTTAAGCTCATTTCAGACATTTCTTCTGTTTTCTGAGAGTGAATCTCAAAATCTACCAAGAACATGTAATAGGTCATATTTTACCCAGGACGTTGTTTATTACATAAAGGCCATAATGCAGGAAAATCTTATTATATGTTATATTATATATATTATATTATATATATTATATCTTATTATATTATTATAATGGAAAAAAGT